CTGTGTAACAGTTAAAATTAATTTAATAAATATTAAAAAATTAAAATTAAAAGAAATTGCAAATAAGAAATGCAAATGATAAATATATAAAGTCTCATCAGTCAGTTAAGTAAAGTTCGTGTAAATAGAACTGTTATTTGCAACGCTTTCATTACTTGTAACATTTCATGTAAAGTTAAAAGATATATCTATTACACTAGTGTGTTCAAAGATGTGTGGAAACAAGCACTCTCATACAGTGCCAATCAAGATGAAATGTGGCACACAGTTTTTGACGAAAAGAAAGAGAATACTTACTAAATTTTAACTTTGCATTTATATTTCCTTTAGTACACATACACATTTTTTTCATGAATTTTAGCAGTAGAAGTACTTTAAAATGTGTGGAAAGATATATAAGTATTGATCTCATTATTATTTGCAATTGCAAAAATAGAAAATAAATTCCATCTATGGGGTTTGGTTAAAAGACTTTAGTTTGTACATAAAGCAAAATATTGTTTATCTTTTAAAATGCATAAGAGAGATGTGTAGTCTTAAAGAGAAATGTAGAAAGTACTAGAAATTCTGAGTTTGATCCCAGGTACCCCCGCAAAAAAAGAAGGTACTAGAAAAATATGTCCTCAATATTTGTTTTTTATCAGTAGTACGTATCATTAGGTGATATGGTGTATGTGATGCTTATTTACTATATGGAATTTTATACCACGTGAATTTCATGAGTGCAGATGTGTTTATTCTGCTCACCAGTTCTCTATAAGACTGGGTTATGGAAGTGATTCAAAAAATATTTATTAAATAAATAAATGAAGAAGTAGGCAGACTTTCCTTGTCAGACAATCAGGTAGCAACAATCCTCAGACATCAGGAAATAGGAAAAATGGTTATGGACCATTCTTTTTTATTACTGTCTTCCTGGGAAATGTTCCTGTCCAGAAAAGGAAGGAAAGGAGGGATCCTATTATCTCTCAGGTCAGTGACTGTCTTCCTACCAATACTCGCCTCAGGCCACTCTGAACATCAGGGTTCCTGAGGCTGTAGATAAGTGGGTTTAGCATGGGGTTGATAACAGTGTTGAAAATCCCTACCCCTTTATCCTTATCTGAAGCCTCCTCTGAACCCAGGCGCATGTAGTTGAAGATACCTGTCCCATAGAAAAGGCAAACCACAGTGAGGTGGGATCCACATGTGGAGAAAGCCTTCTTCCTGCCCTCTACTGAACGGATCTGTAGAACTGCAGCTGCTACATGAATATAGGAACTGACGATGAGAACCACAGGTGCACCCGCCATTATGAAACCCACAGCAAAGAGCAGCAGCTCATTGAGTTGGGTGCTGGAGCAGGAGAGTTGGAACAGCTGTGGGAGGTCACAGTAGAAGTGATTGACCTCTTTGGGACCACAAAAGTTGAGGGTAGTTAAGGCAATAGTATGAGTCAGTGCATTGGTGAAGGAACAGACCCAGGACACAGCCACCAATATCCTCTGGACTGTCTGGCTCATGCGGGTGCTGTAGGTGAGGGGCCGGCAGATGGCCAGGAACCGGTCATAGGCCATGGCTGTCAACAGGAAGCAGTCCAC